AAAATATCAAAAACTCTTATATTTCTTAGCTAATTTATTAAAAAAAAGTTTAACTAATTAATCAAATAAAAAATTAAAATTAATTAAATTAATTATACTTTTTAAAGTTTTTAAAAAATACAAATAATTAATTACTATATAAAAGAAAGAAATATATATATAAAAAAAATTCATATTTTTATTAAAAAATAAAGAGTTAGCTAAGAAATATAATATAAATGAAAAAATAATTAGTAATTTTGAAGTTAAAAGTTTATTAATTTACCAAAGATTTTGATTTATATAAAGTTATATATAATGTAAAGAAAATAATCTTTTCTTACTATTGAAAAGGTCTTAACTTTATAGGTAAAAAATATAATTTAAAGTAATTTATTCTTATTGATAGTATTAATAAAATCTAGAATTTGCATTTTTACATAGTAAATATAGGTTTAAAGTAAAGATAAATAAGTCATTAATTTTAAAAAATAGTATAATCTTAAACAATATATAATGTAAATAGATGTAGTAAATACATTATTATAAGATTTTAATAAAATACATAAAATTCTTCAAAATATTATGCTTATGAAATATTTTTAATTATAATGAAATAAGACTTTTTTGAAAATTGCAATCTAATTGCATATTAGTTAATAGAATAGTTTTTAAAATAAAATAATTATAAAAATTAAATAAATATTTTATTTATTTACAATTCAATTAAAAATAAGAAATTGTGCTTATTATTTATATAATAGTATGCAAAAAAATTGTAATTTTTAAAATTACAATAATTATGTAAATATTATATCAATTAAAATATATGTATAGTATGTTATTTTAAAGTTAAAAAATAGTAAATTTTATTTTAAAAATTTATATAATATTTATTTACTACTTTTTTAATAATTTTTCTATAATATTATAATATCAAATTTATAAAATCAATTACAAAATTATTTAATATTTTTTTTCTTACTTATTATTTATAATTTTTTAATTCACTAATATTTTTTTAGCTATATAATCTTATATTCCTTTAATAATTTTCAATAGTTTTCAATAAGTTTTAAACCTAAATTATTAAAAGATAATAGATAATTTTAAGAATATTATTTTTGAAAAATTACTTAATAAAATAATTAAATTATTTAATAAAATGACTAAAATACTATTGTTAAAGTATTTTTACATTTAATTTCTCTAAGATTTAGTGATAAATTTATGTAAATCCTTATTAATAAATATATAATATGAAAGTGAGGGCTTGAGAATTAAAGGTCTGATCCCCTACTAAAACATTGTGTGTGTGGATTACAGAACGTTAAAAACAATATCAATTTTTCTTATTATATTAGAAAAGCTTCTATCAACTCTAGAATCTTAATTTTAATATTATATTTTAAAGCTCTGTGTGAGTTTTATAACCTCAGAAAGTATATCGATCTTTATTAATATATTAGAAAAGCTTCTAAAGGCTTTAGAATCTTAATTTTTATATTAACTTTTTAGTTATATTTATTAAATCTAACGAAAATTATTATATCAGGAATTAATTTTATGTATGTTAGCTTTTTAAATAGCATATTAACTAGCTAAGTCTAACGAAAATAAGTCTAACAGTTCTTATTATTCCATAAATAAATCTAATGAAAAATTAAGTCTAATAAAAATAAGTCTAATGGTTCTTATTACCCCATAAATAAATCTAACGATTTTCTTAAGTCTAACGAAAAATGGTTTATCTAGAAGTAGTTCTATGCAGGTTAGCTTAATAAAATAACATAATATTCACCTAACTTTAATGAAAAAATAAGTCTAACTGTCTCAATTTCTCCCAGATTATACCATTCTGTAAGATAAGTCTAATGAAAAAATAAGTCTAACGGGATTTTTGTCTCAACTTTTCCTTAATCAAGAATAGGTTCAATGCAGGCTAGCTTACTAAAAAGCATATTTTTTATAAAAATCTAACGAAATGTCACCCCTGCAAAATCCACAGAATTGTCCCAACTTTTCCTTAGTCAAGAATGGGTTTAGCATAGACTAACTTATTAAATAGCATAAAACTTTAACGAAAAAATATAAAAAAACAAGTCTAACAAAAATTTAGCAAATGCCTATTGGATATTACGCTTAAAATTTAAGTTAACCAAAATAATCTTTATTTATTCTGGTTGGCAACTAATGCAATAGTCTCCTTCTCTCATTTTTATCAGAATGAGGCATTCTCTACAAAGAGAAATATTAAGATTTGTAAGCGTATTTATATAAGTAACCATTATTTTCTTATAACTTCTTTCTCGTATCTCTGATTGAAGTCTATCATAGAATTAGTTAGCATAGAATTGATCAATATAAATTCTTTCTCGTCGAAGTCTATCATAGTATTAGGTAACATAATAACCTTTAACATGTAGTGAACATCGTTTACAAGCAAAGGCTGTAGACTTTTCACAATCAGAATAAAGTATATGTTTTTTAGCTTTCTAATAGAATCAATATCCTTCGGGCTTAGTACTAGCATTTCCATAAATCTTTCTGATATTACAAAGAAATGGGCAAGAATATTCGCCGATTATCCTACTTTTTTATTACTAGATTCGAAAAGATTAATTAATAATTAGTTAATGCTTCAGTTTTGCAATAGCTAGAATCACTTGGAAAGCTTGTAAATACTTATCTTCAGTAGGATTTCTATGATTAAAAGGTGATAAGTATATAAGAAATAAATAATTAAAAAAAAAATTATATAAGCAAGTAATAGTGCAATGGTTAGAACTAACTAATATACCAAATGTCTGATGCTTACCCAGAATATATAGAAGAATTTAATATAGAAATAGCTGATTTCAATCTAATTGGTCCTACTGACTATATACCTTTGACAGAAACTTTACCAAAACATAATAATGGAATTATTAATATTTAAAATAATGATAACTGGTATTTCAGCTGAAGTGTCCTAGGAGCTTTGCATCCAATTAAAGTTCATCCAGAAAGAAATCCGCATCAGCTATATAGAGATTTTGTGAAGGAGTTTAATATGGATGATATTCCAGTTTTAGTGCCAGTTTTAACATTAGTTTATAAAAAGTTTGAAGAAAATAATTCTGAAATCAGTCTATATATCTATGAATGGCACAACCAAAACAAATGTTTTGACTTTCGCTATGTTTCAGAAAGAAGAGGGAATGAATATAAGTAAGTAAATCTTTTAGTAATTACGAAAGAAGAAAGAAGTCACTACTGTATTATCAAAGATTTACATAAGCTAGTATATAATCATAGTAAATATAAAGGGTGAAAATACATTTGTCGTTATTATTTTCATGTATACTCTTCAGAGATAAGATATAATGAATATTCGCCAAAATGCAAAGGTTTAAATAATACCCTCCAGCGATTACAAATGCCAGTTAAGAATAGGAATATCAAAGCTTTTTATAACTATAAATACATGTAACCAAATCCATATTGCATTTTCTGAGATCTAGAAATGTTAACTGAAAAGTTAATCCCTGAAAAGAAGATGAAGTTAACCTATACTGAAAGATTATAGATGCATAAGTCGTGTAGCTATTGCTATGTAGTTATTTGTATGAATAGTTCATTTAACTATGAAATCATAAGTTAAGATTTATATAGGGTCCGGATGAGCTTGAAAGATTTGTTACAAAAATTGAAGAGGAGCTAGCAAACATATAGGAGGACTTATCTGCGTCTACAAAAATGATAATGATATCAGGAGATCTTAAAGTATACAATGAGGTGACAGAATGCTGGATTTGTAAGGGACCTTTTTTAAAACTAGCATCAGAGATATTACAAAAACTCAAAGAAGCAAAGCATAATTTATTAAAAATCAAAGAATGGAAAACATGTATGAAAAAAGAATATTCTAAAAAGAAAGAGGCACAAAAAGATACTGAGAAGCTTTAAGTATACTTAATCGAAAAGTAAAAGATTATGATTATATAAATGGAAAGTACCGAGATCTAGTTCATGACTCTTATAACAAAAAATTGCGAATAGGCTCTTTCAAAACTAAAGTGCCTCTTATATGTCATAATTTTCAGGGATATGATTCTCATCCGCTTATAAAAGTTGTAAGCAAGTTTACGGCTGATAAGCTAAATTACATTCTAGAAAATATAGGAAAATACAAAGCCATGGATGTTGACCAGCTCTGATTTCTTAATAGCTTTCAGCATATAGGAATGGGATTAGATAAATTAGTAAAATTAGAGTTTGGACTCGAGTCAGAAAGTTAACTCAAGTCAAAGTCAAATCAAGAAATTTTTGACTCGAAGAGTACTCGAGTTGGAAATTCAAGTCAGAAACTCGAGTCAAACTCGAGTTAAAGTCATAATGCGGGCCGGAAAAGTACAATGCGGGCCAAAATTTTGTGATATTTTTGGGGCCGAACTAAAGGAAATTTTTTTAAAAAATTTTTATTCAATGATTATATAATAAATGTTAATTATATTATGCTAATAAATGCAGTTTAAGAAAAGAATTACATGTTATTTATAAAATATAGCATAAATTTGGAGTTGACTCGAGTAGTTTTAATTCGAGTCAACTCAAATTTTGACTTGAATCAAGAAAATCTTGACTCGAATCAGAATTTAACTCGAGTTAACTCGAGTTAAACGAATACAAGTCCACTCTCTAAGTAGAATATTTAGGAGGAAAGCTCAAAAAATTTTCCCTAACTGTTAGGTACTTTACTGAGAAAGGCTATTCAATAGATAAGATTAAACTTCTTTTTCAAAAAGGCATTTTCTCATACGACTGGACAAATGCATAGAAAAAATTTGACAGAATAAGTCTTTCACTTAGAAAGGGTTTCTATTCGCTTCTTAGCTAGCAAAATATTAGTAAAAAGGATTATGAACATACTCAAAAGATATGGCAAGAATTTGAAATGAAGAATTTTGGAGAATATCATAACTTATATCTTAAAACTGATATACTTTTACTTGCAGAACTTTTTTATGAACTACACTATCATGTACTTGAATGATGATAGCTTAGATTCCTCTCATTACGTATCCGCATCAGAAATGTTTAATGATTTCTTATACAAAAGTAGTAGAGCTGAACTTAAGCTAATAACAAATATAAACGAGTACTTAATGGTTGAGAAGGGTATTTGTGAAGACATGACAATGGCAAATCACCGTTATGCTAAAGCTAATAATCCTAAATGTTCTGATTACAATCCAGGCAAACCAACATTTTGGATCTTATATGATGATATGAATGCTTTATATTCAGGTGCGATGACCTAATACATGTCTATAGAAATATTGGAAAAAGTAAGTTCTGGATATATAAAGTATTGCACCAGATGCTGAAATAGGATATATGTTAGAAGTTGATCTAGAAGCCTCAGTGCACTTGTATGATTTCTTTGTGAATTATCCTTTAGCACCAAAAAAGCAGATAGTTTTAGAAGAATGACTTAACTTGTATAATGAAAGATTAGTACATGATAAAGAAGTTGAGGGCAGAAAATATATAACAGGAGAAAAGCTTGTCCAAACCCTTTATCCTAAAAAGAACTACGTAGTCCATTATTATGCACTCCAATTATACATAAAAATGGGATGAAAGTTACAAAGATTCATGGAGGATTAAAATTCCAGCAGTCTTCATAAATAAAAGAATATATTGAGGAAAATATTTGTAAATGCAAAATAGCTAAGACCACTAGAAATGAGTTTGAAGTTATGTACTATAAGTTAAAAAATAATGTAGTCTTCGGCAAACAGATGGAGAATGTCTATAAACATATGAGAGTAGAATTACTCTGAACAGAAGAGGATAAAAAAATCAGGCATCTAGCAAGTTCACCATTATATATAGGCTTTAAAGCATTTGAAGAGAGAATTACAGCAATCTATATATTAAAAGTATAGTAACTCTAAACAAATCAATCTATATAAGGCAGGCAATTCTCAATATTAGCAAAGTTATAATGTTTAACTTTTAGTATAATTACATAAAACCTTGCTATAAAGATAAGGCCTGTCTACTTTATACAGATACAGACTCACCAGTGTATAAAATTTAGACCAAAAGTCATGTGCACAAGTTATCCTAAAAATAGAAAATTAATGCATGTATTATATAGTATTTCCATTTTTATAAATAATTTATCCATTTTTATATATAATTTATCTATTTTTAGTAATTATTTGTGCACATTTTATGTTGTGTAATATGTGCACATAAAAATTTAATGTGCACATGTGCACATTGTGCACATGAATTTTACATACTGAGACTCACTCATAATGTAAATAGAAACTGAAGATATATATAAAGATCCAGTAGAAAGATCAGACATTTTCGATCTTAACTATTTAGGAGACTTATTTCTAATGAAGGATGAGACAAAAGGGGATCCAATAGACGAATCAGTATACTTAAAGCCAAAAATGTATTCAGTTCTTCCAATAGGTCATGATCCTAAAACTTCTAAAATGGATGCAGATTTTGAAAAAGAATTAGAAGAAGAAGAATATAGAAAATTATAGGGTAAAAAGAAATGGAAGAAAAAGCATAACATCCAAAAGTCAAAAGGTGTAAAGAAATACGTGATCAAAAAGGAGCTTCGATATGATAAGTTTCTAAAAAGTCTTAGGAACAAGAAACTAACCTGGCATGATATGTATAGCCTTCAAAATTATGATCATCAAATATATCTGGAGAGGATGAATAAGATAGGGCTGAATCCATATGATAACAAGCGCTAGATTTTACTTGATAGGATTTGAACTCTCCCTATAGATATTGGCGAATTAGACTATATAAATGCCTGATAGTATCTGAAATATCTTTTGAGAAAGCAAAAGAAAGGGCTATAAAAGCTAAACTTCATGTCAAGACATAGATGTTTTATAACAAATATTTTTTTCAGATAAAAAAATTCTAAAGAATATATTTTCATTAATTAAAGTTTTTCTATTATTATAGTAGAAACAATATAAAATTGATCAATAATAAAGATATAGAACTTGCGCAAGTCAAAGTCATAAAAACTGCATTGTGAAAGGGTAAAAAATATGATAATCTTGCAAAAAACTATGAAAACTATCTAAAAAAATTGCGAGCTAAAAAGAATCTGAATGATTATATTAAGATAGTTGCAGTCAAGATGTTTTTTAACGAAGAGGTATACACTCTAATGCTAGAAAATTATCGCAAAAGATATATAGATAATAATCTGTATGCTAGCCTAAAGAAATTATACGAGCTTTATTATCATATAGCTAAAAAGAAGAATCGCGAAAGATCAGATGATGAAATAGAACAAATGCTCAAAGAAATGTTAATCTAACTGTCTTTTGGTAAAGCTTTTTATAAGCTAGATTAGTGAATGATGAATATATAAGAAAGACAAGTTACAGCATTAAAATAAATATTATATATTTTTTTCTGGCATATGAGCAAACAGATAGGGAAGTCACTATGCATATATTAATATTATTTTTTCAATTAAAGATATAGACTCCTATAACAAAGTATGAGATTTACTAGCAATTTGCATAATATGAAAAGCTTAAATGAAATTATAAAAAATGCAAATAAAAATATTAAAAAGGTGTTTTTAGCAGGGATTACACTTGAATTTTGACAAAAAACCTATATAATTGGTCTTAAATTAACATTGGATAGATTGGCATAGAAGCTAGAGTTTGTGCAAAAAGATGATTGTTCTTCTAAGCCAGCCAGTTCAAAGTAGTGATCTTTAGCTCAGAAGAATTTGCTGAGCTATGCACAGCGTCTTCGGCCAGATTGTATGACAAAAAATATTTAGATCATCACTCAGAAAAATAAAATATTTTTACTCCCTCTGGACTGTGCCTTCGGCAGAAAATGATTTAGACATGTTAATACAAAAATTCATTAATGGTAAAGAACTGTTAGAAGTTTTGAAGATATGCTTTTGCATTTTTATTGGTTTCTTCTAATCCACTTATTTTCTGATCATAATGACTGATAATACCAAGATAATATTGAATTATGCTTATATCCTCTTCCAAATATAAAAGCAAATGATATAATGTTTTAAGTGATCTTTTTCCATATGTTTCTCCCTTAAGATCATATATATTATTATATAATATAGTAAAAACAGGTGGCAATCTATATTGCAGTCAGGGAATTTACCAAATATATCTTAGCGATCAATTTCCTAATATGGTAAAAATATTGCTGATCAGAATATTCTAGATTATCCCAATCAAAAAAAAAAATGATTGGTTAAAATTAAAAAATTTTAAATTTAATAAAATTGTTTTATTGATTTTTTATTTATTAATA